CTCCCCTTTCTCTGCAGAGCGCTTGAACAATCTGTGGGCTCAGCCTCCCTCATCAATATGCATTAGCTCCAAGACACTGACACCAACAACAATAACACCATAGTGGCTTTGAATCCAGATGCCAGGCCCTTCCAAAGGCTCGGGAGCCCCGGCACTTGGAAAAGGGGTGCTGCACAAAGGGAGAAGGTTCCCCCTTTATTCAGATATGAAGCCCACTCCTGATGGTAGCCCGTCTACAAGAGTCACATCTTCCACTCCTGCAGAATGGATGGAATCATTATTATACAAAGGAACATTCTTTACAGCACCAGAGCTGAAACATCTGCTCCGAGTGTGTTTCGTCCAAGGCTCAGGGAATGTGCCATGCACACTGCAGTGTTGTTATGCCATCTGTTAGTCAACCTCCAATAAAATAATAAATAAATACAAAGCCTGGGAGAAGGCTACAGAGTCGATGGAGGACATCTCAGGTAGCGTGCCATCAACTCCATTTGGTGATATTTCAGCAAACATCAAACTGATGCTTCCCCTTGCTGCTTTTTGTTTCTTATGGAGGGGGGGGGGGAATTGATTGAAAAGGCCAACAATGTGATGCGGCGGCAAAAAAATCCAATGGAATTTTGGCCCGCATCAATAGGAGTATAGTGTCTAGATTCACGGAAGGCTATTCCGCCTTGGTTAGACCACATCTGCAATACTGTGTCCAATTCTGGGCACCACAATTGAAGGGAGAGGTTGACAAGCTGGAATGTGTCCAGAGGAGGACAACTAAAATGATCAAGGGTCTGGAGAACAAGCTATATGAGGAGCGGCTTAAAGAGCTGGGCATGTTTAGCCTGAAGTATAGAAGGCTGAGAAGAGACATGATAGCCATGCAGGGGCGGCTCAACCCATTACGCAAATTAAGCATTTGCAGTATAGTTGATTTTGCCCAGGGGCACTCTTGAGGCGCTTTTGGGGGGAAATAGACCTTGACATATGCGAGTTGTAGTTACTAGGATGTATAGTTCACCTATAATCAAAGAGAATTCTGAACTCCACCAATGATGGAATTGATCCAAAAATGGCACACAGAACTCCCACGACAAACAGAAAATATATATCAGTGATTGGTTGGGGGGGGGGGGGCAAAATACTGTTTGCTTACCTAGGGCCGCCTCTGTAGCCATGTATAAATAAGTGAGGGGAAGTCATAGGGAGGAGGGAGCAAGCTTATTTTCTGCTGTCCTGGAGACTAGGACGTGGAACAATGGCTTCAAACTGCAAGAAAGGAGATTCCATCTGAACATGAGGAAGAACTTCCTGACTGTGAGAGCTGTTCAGCAGTGGAACTCTCTGCCCTGGAGTATGGTAGAGGCTCCTTCTTTGGAGACTTTTAAACAGAGGCTGGATGGCCATCTGTTGGGGGTGCTTTGAATGCAATTTTCGTGCTTCTTGGTAGGGGGTTGGACTGGATGGCCCACGAGATCTCTTCCAGCTCTATAATTCTATGATTCTGGCTTGGTAGAGGTATCACGTTTTTCTTTTCATTTAGTTTTCAGATTTTGAGACATGTTCCCTTTCATAGAGTCATAGAATCAAAGAGTTGGAAGAGACCTCATGGGCAATCTAGTCCAACCCTCTGCCAAGAAGCAGGAATATTGCATTCAAATCACCCCTGACAGATGGCCATCCAGCCTCTGTTTAAAAGCTTCCAAAGAAGGAGCCTCCACCACACTCCGGGGCAGAGAGTTCCACTGCTGAACAGCTCTCACAGTCAGGAAGTTCTTCCTCATGTTCAGATGGAATCTCCTTTCTTGTAGTTTGAAGCCATTGTTCCATGTCCTAGTCTCCAGGACAGCAGAAAATAAGCTTGCTCCCTCCTCTCTGTGGTGGGCAGGAAAAGAGATTTAAAGATGGGCTCAAAGCCAACCTTAAAAACTCTGAGCAGTGGGAAGCCCTGACCCTTGAGCGCTCCAACTGGAGGTCAGTTGTGATCAGCAATGCTGTAGAATTTGAAGAGGCACGAATGGAGGGCGAAAGAGAGAAACGTGTCAAGAGGAAAGCATGTCAAGGCAACCCTGACCGGGACCACCTTCCACCTGGAAACCAATGCCCTCACTGCGGGAGAATACGCAGGTCAAGAATAGGGCTCCACAGTCACCTATGCACCCACTGCCAGTACACCAATCTTGGATGACAATCCTACTCGGACTACGAGGGATCGCCTAAGTAAGTAAGAGTAGCTCAGACCCAGTTATTTACCAATGAAGAAATGTAGTTCGTTCTTATTATTGTAAATAAACCTTTTGTGATTTATTAAGATTGGACTCTGCGTGTTTGCCTCCTAAGCTCTCAATTCTTTACAGTCACATCACACGGCACTTCATGCTTTGCTCGCTAATGAGCTGATGCTCAACTTTTGTATCCTGTTTGTTTTTGGATGCTCTGCTATATTTTAGGGTAGTTTTCCAGATATGCCTAAGAGAAGTCTTGGGCATATCTGTTCATTGAATTATGGGACACACTGCTTATAGACTTAAAAGCAATTATTCATTTTCTCACAAGTAGAACAATATTTGTGGTCTTGCCAGGAGAGCTGCTCTTCACTCGTCATCGCCTTTCTCCAGGCCGCAGCAGCACCAAAGTGCCCAGGACGTCCTTGTCGTCACTCTCTTTCAGATTGCCCCAGCTTCAGTTGATTTGTTGTTGTTGTTTGTTTGTTTCAGCAATAAATGTTTGCCACTTTGCTCTTTTCTCTGTAAACCTCCCTGAGTCTGGTTTGGGGAGATAGGGCGGGTTATATTTGGCCACGGTGTTCCACACTCTTGTTACATCCCGAATAGATTACTGCAATGCACTCTACATGGGGCTGCCTTTGAAGACTGCTCGGAAACTTCAACTAGTCCAACGGGCGGCAGCTAGACTACTCACTGGAGCGTCCTGTTATGTCAGCTCCACTAGCTGCCTGTCCAATTCCGAGCACAATTCAAAGTGCTGGTTTTGACCTACAAAGCCCTATACGGCTCCAGCCCAGCTTACCTATCCGAATGTATCTCCCTCTACGTTCCACCTCGAAATTTAAGATCGCCTGGGGAGGCCCTGCTCTCAGCCCCACCTTTGGCGCAAACACCCTTGGCGGGGACGAAGGACAGGGCCTTCTCGGTGGTGGCCCCCCGCCCGTGGAACTCGCTCCCCAGCGAAATCAGGTCAACAAAATCCCTCCTTGCCTTCAGGAGGAAATTGTAAACGTGGTTATGGGACCAGGCCTTTGGGTAGCTGGCAGATAACTGACAATGGTAATAATTATTCCCAGAATAATGATCCTATAGCACTTTGTCCTCCGAAGCACTTTACATTTTAGGTCTGCTTGTATGTTTTCCACAAACGCCACTACCACCTTTTCACCCATGCTCCAGCATTATTTTCAATTTTAATTTTACATTTGGCCTTCCCACAGTTTTAATTGTGTGTTATCTTATTGTTAATGTTGCATATCTTATTGTCCATGTTTTTTTTTTATTTTAATTGCTTGTATTGTTGTTATTATTGCGTGTATTGTTGTATTTGGGCTCGGCCTCATGTAAGCCGCACCAAGATGGTAGCAGGGTATAAATAAAGTGTTATTATTATTATTATTATGATAATGTTATGGAAAATGGACTATGGACAGGCTTCCGATTGTGTTGTGCTCGCTGAATTTGTTTCTACATAAGGATTGCACTTTTCATTAATGTACTTTTTACTTTAAAACTAATTTTGATATCAATTTACTGTGTTTTTATATGTATTACGGTATGTATTATTTATATGCAATGGAATCAAATTGTGCCGGATGTAATCTGCCCTGAATCCCCCACCCCCCAGGGGTTGAGAAGGGTAGGGTACAAATGTTTGAAATAAATAAATAAATAAATAAATGTTGTTGTTGTTGTTGTTGTAAATGGCGCCTATCCATATACCGTATATACTCGAGTATAAGCTGACCCGAATATAAACCGAGGCACCTAATTTTACCACAATAACTGGGAAAATGTATTGACTCGAGTATAAGCCTAGGGTGGGAAATACTGGTTAGTTTCAAAATAAAAACAGATACCAATAAAATTACATTAATTGAGGCATCAGAAGGTTAAATGTTTTTGAATATTTACCTAACACTGTAATTTAAGAGAAGACTGTCCAACTCTGATTCTAACCTTCTGCAACGCAAATGTGCTTATGTATCCTTCCAATAAGAATAAAGAGAGTAACATAATGTAATAATGATGATGATGATGATGATGATGATGATAATAATAATGAGTAAAATAATGGAAATGTAATAATAACAGTAATAATAGAGTAAAATAATAAATGTAATAATAACAATAATATATAGTCAAATAATAAATGTAATAATAACAATAATAAAGTAAAATAATAATGTAATAATAATAATTGAGTAAAATAATAAATGCAATAATAATAATAGAATAAAATAATGGAAATGTAATAACAGTAATAATAGAGTAAAATAATAAATGTAATAATAACAATAATAAAGAAAAAATAATGTAATAATAATAATTGAGCAAAATAATAAATGCAATAATAATAATAATAGAGTAAAATAATGGAAAAGTAATAATAACAGTAATAATAGAGTAAAATAATAAATGTAATAATAACAATAATAAATAGTCAAATAATAAATGTAATAATAACAATAATAAAGTAAAATAATAATGTAATAATAATAATTGAGTAAAATAATAAATGCAATAATAATAATAGAATAAAATAATACATGTAATAAAAATAATAACAGAGTAAAATATTAAATAGCGTTGAACCGAGTATAAGCCAAGAGGAACATTTTCAGCCTATAAAAATGGCTCAAAACTAGGTTTATACTCGAGTATATACAGTAATATTCCTGCACAAATGGTAAATTTTGAAATTAATTATATTCACAGATTCATTGTAACTCACATTGTTTGGAACTTTGGTTGAACAAAACAGACATACACATCGTGGGGTTGAAGATTATAATATGTTTAATGGAAAAGCCTCCCATCAAGCATTTTTTACATATAGCTGGTATGCCTGAAAGGATGTCCAAATGATATTGTCACAGTAGGAAATGAGTCATTAAGGAAATTACGTGACAGTTGCCATGAGGTGGCAGCTTCCACTACACAAGATGGACATTCAAAGCCTTCAGTCACATGGTTAGCCTAGAAGTACCACTTCAATGACCACCAACAGCCACACAAAAATCTGGGATTGTGGTCGAATGGGGCAAGGACAAGACTGGATGTATCATATGGTTGGAGGCTACAGATTGCTTAAGTTCAAAGTTACAACCATGATATGGTAAATGTTTAAATAGTGAGTTTTCACTGCTGGTTTTGTTACCATACTCAACAGCATACATGTTGGATAGTTGCAACATCAAGATATATAGTGGTTCTTATTGACAACAGCTCATAAAAGAAACAAAAACCAGGTACACATTGAAAACTGATGTTTCCCAGTTGATAGAACATAAGGATTTAACAGCTTTTTGTCTTATATATTTCTACAAAACATCTAATTGATGGAAATGTAGGCCCGTGACAAGCCTTTGGTTGTGCAGCAGCAATTCAAGGCTCACTATAGCTCAGATTCAGCAACGCGTAAATACAGATTTCTTAGCTCATTCGACTGATGTTGTCTTAAACCCTGGTAACTGGGAGAATATTTTATTTTCAATAGGACTTCAGAGAAATCAGATGTACATTCCTGTTTTAAAAGAGGGCTGGGATGAATGGATCCTGTCCCGACGGCTCCATTTTGGAAACTGCAGTTTGCCCTTGATCCGAATCCATCCCCTGGGGTTCCTTCTGCAGCTGTTTAATGGCCCTGGCCCCAAAACGGAAGCCTTGCACATCTACTTTAGCAGTATTTCAAGCACTTCAGGATTTCAAGCACTTCAACAGCATAGCTGCAGAGCCCCTGGTAGATGACATCAACTGGCTTTATCGATAAATCATGTACAAAGACTGGAGTGTCCGTTTGGATCCAACTCAGCTCTCTTGTTCTCTCTCAACCGGCAGATCACCTATTCCAGTAAATGTTAACCCTTTATTGTCAGTGATAAGAGAGTTTATGTTGGAGCCAAGAACTTCTGAAGCATGGGCTTGGAAACCATCTTCCCCGGCTGAAACAGTACACCCATTCATATACATCTCCAAATGTTTTAGCAGTTGCTTTGGGTTTCTTTTGGCAAATATCTCCAAGTCTATAGAAAAAAAAAAACAAGATATGTAAAAGTTGCTTACCTGTAACCGGGTTCCTCCGAGTGGTCACCTGTGAAATTTGCACATACAGCACTGAGATCTTTATCGAAAGCAGGGGTCCTCAATTTTTTTAAACAGAGGGCCAGGTCACAGTCCCTCAAACTGTTGGAGGGCTGGATTATACGAGGGGTATTTTTAAAGTAAGGTCCGTTTTGTTGTAGACACTAGTAGTTCGCACATACCCCAACGAGTGCACGCGTCGTGTAGCGGCATGCCTCGGGAACAACTGTGCTCAGTTTCCGCTCTGTAGCTAACCTGTACGGTTCTGTTCTGTGCTTTAAAAATGTTTAAGACTATCAACTCACCTCCGCTTGTGAGGTTCGCTCAGTGATACGGTTTTTGTCAGCAAGGAACCTGCCTGCTGCAGAAATTCATCGACAGATTTGTGAAGTGTACAGTGATACAGTACAGCAAAGCTGGGGTGAAAATTGCTGGAAGAAACATTAACAACCTCAGATATGCAGATGATACCACTCTGATGGCCGAAAGCGAGGAGGAGCTGAGGAGCCTTCTAATCAAGGTGAAAGAAGAAAGCGCAAAAGCTGGGTTGCAGCTAAACATCAAAAAAACCAAGATTATGGCAACAAGAATGATTGACAACTGGAAAATAGAGGGAGAAAATGTGGAGGCCGTGACAGACTTTGTATTTCTAGGTGCAAAGATTACTGCAGATGCAGACTGTGGCCAGGAAATCAGAAGACACTTACTTCTTGGGAGGAGAGCAATGTCCAATCTCGATAAAATAGTAAAGAGTAGAGACATCACACTGGCAACAAAGATCCACATAGTCAAAGCCATGGTATTCCCTGTAGTCACCTACGGATGTGAGAGCTGGACCTTAGGGAAGGCTGAGCGAAGGAAGATCGATGCTTTTGAGCTGTGGTGTTGGAGGAAAGTTCTGAGAGTGCCTTGGACTGCGAGAAGATCCAACCAGTCCATCCTCCAGGAAATAAAGCCCGACTGCTCATTGGAGGGAAGGATACTAGAGACAAAGTTTAAGTACTTTGGCCACATCATGAGGAGACAGCAAAGCCTAGAGAAGACAATTATGCTGGGGAAAGTGGAAGGCAAAAGGAAGAGGGGCCGACCAAGGGCAAGATGGATGGATGGCATCCTTGAAGTGACTGGACTGACCTTGAAGGAGCTGGGGGTGGTGACGGCCAACAGGGAGCTCTGGCGTGGGCTGGTCCATGAGGTCACGAAGAGTCGGAGGCGACTGAACGAATGAACAACAACATGATACTGTTATGAGTGAAAGCAAAGTGCGTAAGTGGGTACGACAATTCAAAGATGGTCGTGACAACGTCCATGATGAGGACGACGTGAAAACGGCAGTGAACTCTTGGTTATCGGAGCAGGCAGCAAGTTTTTATGAAGAGGGTATTTTAAAATTGGTTCAGAGGTATGATAAGTGTTTGAACAAACTTGGCAACTATGTCGAAAAATAGAGTGAAGTATGTACTTTCTGAAAATAAATTTACTTTTTTGAAATAAACTTTCGTTGTGTAGTTATGTTCCAACGGACCTTACTTAAAAAATATCCCTTGTATATGGCAGTGGACATTGGACATTGCAAAAATAGAGTGAAGTATGTACTTTCTGAAAATAAGTTTACTTTTTTGAAATAAACTTTCACTGTGTACTTATGTTCAAACGGACCTTACTTAAAAATACCCCTCGTAATTTGAAAAAATACCCATGAATTCCTATGCACACTGCACATATCTTATTTGTAGTACAAAAGGCACTTTAAAACAATACAATAATTAAAATGAAGAACAATTTTAACAAATATAAACTTATTAGTATTTCAATGAGAAGTGTGGGCCTGCTTTTGAGATAGGATGGTTGTTGTTGTTGTTGTTGTTGTTGTGTGCTTTCAAGTAGTTTCAGACTGAATTATATATTGGAAAGCCCAAAAGATGGGTTAGGATAGAGAAATTAACAAACGGGTGGGAATATGGATCTTGCATTATGGGGAAAATTGGGGGAAAAGAACTAAAAATCATAAAAGGAGACCCTTTGTTATCAACAATGACCTGTTGGGGAAAATGGCAAAACAAACTCCCACTAAATAAAATAGACAAGCTCCCAATAGGTTCCATAGACAACAGAAAACCCCAGCCACATCGCAATATGCTAAAGAAACTGGAACAGAATGGAATAACAAAGATGGAGGACTTACTAAAACCAGATGGGACTGTAATTCAATGGGAGGAAATAAAAGATAAATGTGGGCTTGGAAATTGGTTACAATGGGGAGGGCTGTCTAAAAAGCGAACAGAATGGAAGTCTAAGGAAACCTCAGAAACAAATTTCGACAAAATAATAAAATGGAAAGTTGAGAAGGAGAAAGGAATCATGGGATTTATATATAAAATAATCACAGAAATACAATATAACACAAAATCTACCCTAATAGGAGTCTGGAAGGAGGAATTAAGTTGCAGTGAGAAAGAAATAGACAACTGGATGAATTCAATCAATAAAATAAAACATCTAAAGATTAAAGAAATGCAACGGAAAATACTGACAAAATTGTACAGAACTCCCATGCAACTGGCGCATATCATGAAAATATGTCCAAAATTATGTTGGCACAACTGCAGAAAAATAGGAACATACGCCCATATGTGGGAATGCAAAAAAATCCAAAAGTTCCAAGAAATAATCAGGAAGGAAATGGAGGAGCTATTAGGGATAAATATAGAATGGAACAAGACCCAATTTTTCACCCAGAAATTGGAAAGTAAAGGGGAATATAAAGAAAGTGAGGAAATAATTAATCACATGATAGAGGCAATCAAAGCCTCAGTGGCTCTGGGCTGGAAGGACCACAAGAAATGGGATATAAAAACTTGGTATAAATATCTAGCTGATTACCTTCTCCAAGATTATATTAGCGAAAGGAAAAGTTACTATATGATGGGTCAAAGCAGAAGGACATGGGAAGCAAAATGGAAGGGTCTCATATACAGAATAAAGGGGAAAGATAAATATACGGTGTTAAATAAGACTATTCTCATGATTGAACATCAAATGTACTTAACTGTTCCTGGGCGGGGGGGGGGGGTTGTGGTGGTGGTGGTGGTGGGACTGGGGAAAATACTGGTATTTTGAATGTTAATTTCAAAGATGGTATGTTTCTATGTATTATGCAATTTTTTTTTAAAAAAAAATCATTTCAGACTTAGGTTGACCCTGAGCGAGGGCTAGGTAAATGGCCTTGGAGGGCTGCATCCGGCCCCCGGGCCATAGTTTGAGGACCCCGATCTAAAGGATAGTAATAATAATAATAATAATAATAATAATAATAATAATGCAACCTGGGCTATAAAAATGATAGACATAACTTATGGTTTACTTTCACTTTAGGAAAAACTAATTTGGGAGATTTTTTAAAAAAAAAAAACCAATGTAATATGAAGGAAAGATGGGGGGATATCATAGTCCTTTATAAAATACATGCAAGATATGGCAAGTGTGCAAATAAAGCAATGGTTAAATGGGATCTCTTTGGGATAATAGATTTATTTTAAGAGAGGAAAAACAGGACATAAATAAAAAAATAAATAAAATAGTTTGTAAATGGCTTCAAACTACAAGAGAGGAGATTCCATCTGAACACGAGGAAGAACTTCCTGACTGTGAGAGCCGTTCAGCAGTGGAACTCTCTGCCCCGGAGTGTGGTGGAGGCTCCTTCTTTGGAAGCTTTTAAAAAGAGGCTGGATGGCCATCTGTCAGGGGTGATTTGAATGCAATATTCCTGCTTCTTGGCAGGGGGTTGGACTGGATGGCCCATGAGGTCTCTTCCAACTCTTTGATTCCATGATTCTATGATTCTATGAAAGGTTTTAAACTGTTGTGAACAGAAGAATATTTTCAACAGACCCATTTTTTTTGTCGAGTCAGGAGCAACTTGAGAAACTGCAAGTCGCTTCTGGTGTGAGAGAATTGGCCGTCTGCAAGGACATTGCCATGGGGACGCCCGGATGATTTTTGATGTTTTTATCATCCTTGTGGGAGGCTTCTCTCATGTCCCCGCTTGGGGAACTGGAGCTGACAGAGGGAGCTCATCCGCCTCTCCCTGGATTTAAACCTGCGACTTATCAGTCTTTGGTCCTGCCGGCACATGGGTTTAACCCACTGCGCCACCGGGCCCATGAAGACATCTCATATAGTAGTCATTTCATAATGTGATATATACACATAGAAAAAGCAAATGTCATCTATTGGGAGGAGGACTAGAAAAGCTCACCTTTAAGAACAAAACCAGAATCACAAATGGTCTTTTGTTGTGTTTTCCAAATATTGAAGAGGCGTAAAAATACAGCCACGTACAAATCATTTAGCACCGCAATCACCTGCTGTCTTCGATTACATTCTCTGAAAGAGAAAAGCACAACGTATTTTCTCATTTATGAGAAGGAAGAACTTGGAAGGAGGATTTTTCGGGTACTTAGAAAATTAGGAAGCTGTTTTATTCCAAGACACACTTTTGGTCCACCTGCTCTAGGGAATCAAGTAATTTTTAAGATGCCAACGGACTGCAATGCCCAACATTCCTCATCAGTAATTATCTGTTAGTCAGGGATGGACAGATTGTCTCCAATACCCAAATGGAGGAATTAAATTAAGAAGACAATTCAACTGCCAGACATGTGGCCAATTCCAGCCAAAGCAGAAGAATAAACCCATGCACAAGAGACGATGAAAAGCAACTTATTTATTTATTTATTTATTTATTTATTTATTTGGTAGTTTTGTATTCCGGTCTTCTCACCTCTATTCGAGGGACTCAGGCCGGTTTCCAACATCAATATTACAGACCGTCATTAAAACATCATATTTCTAAATCACACTAAAACATTAAAACATTGAAACAATTAAAATAGGAAAAATACAATCATATGATTACAGTGGTCAGTTGTCATCAAAGTCATTATTTGTCGTCATCCATCCATATCACAGGATCATGGCTCATTCGTTGAATGCCAATCCCCAAAGCCAGGCTTTCATCTGTTTCCTGAATGTTAAGATCGAAGGGGCAGTTCTGATCTCCAGTGGAAGGGAGTTCCAGAGTCGAGGGGCCACCACCGATAAGGCCCTGTCTCTCGTCCCCACCAGCTGCGCCTGTGAGGCTGGTGAGATCGAGAGCAGAGCCCCTCCAGACGATCTTAGTAATCTTGATGGTTCATAGGGGAGGATACGTTCGGACAGGTAAATTGGGCCGGAACCGTTTAGGGCTTTATAGGTTAAGACCAGCACTTTGAATTGTGCTCGGAAGATGACTGGCAGCCAGTGAAGCTGGTGCAACAGAGGAGTAGTATGCTCCCTGTACCCCGCTCCCGTTAGTAACCTGGCTGCCGCACGCTGGACTAATTGAAGCTTCCGGGCAGTCTTCAGAGGCAACCCCACATAGAGAGTGTTGCAGTAATCTAAACGGGATGTAACCAAAGCGTGGACCACCGTGGCCAAGTCAGACTTCCCAAGGTACGGGAGCAGCTGGCGCACAAGTTTTAATTGTGCAAAAGCTCCCCTGACCACCGCCGAAACCTGGGGCTCCAGGCTCAGCGATGAGTCCAGGATCACTCCCAAGCTGCGAACCTGCGCCTAATGAGGAGACTTAGATTCTGCAGAATGCGCCTTCTCCTTTTCTCTCTTCTTTTCCTCCTCTCTCTTCTTCTCCTTCTTCTTGTGGGAGAGTTGCTTTGAAAGTGGAGGCCTTCTCCACTGACTCCACATCAAGTAATGCCAAACTTTGAGAAGACACTAGGTTGCTGTGAGTTTCCCAGGCTGCATGGCCATGTACCAGAAGCATTCTCTCCTGACATTTTGCCCACATCTATGGCAGGCATTCTCAGAGGTTGTGAGTTCTGTTGGAAACTAGGCAAGTGGGGTTTATATCTGTCGAATGATGTCCATGGTGGAGAAAGAACTCTTGCCTGTTTGAGGTAAATGTGAATTGGCCACCTTAATTAGCACTGAACAGTCTGGCAGCTTCAAAGCTTGGCTGCTTTCTGCCTGGGGGAATCTTTTGTTGGGAGGTGTTCCCTGTCTGGAATTACCCTGTTTTCTGAGTGTTGTTCTTTATTTACTGTCCTGATTTTAGAGTTTTTAATACTGGTAGCCAGACTTTATTCATTTTCGTGGTTTCTTCCCTTTTTTTTTTTGAAATTGTTCACATGCTTGTTGATTTCAATTGCGTTTCTGTAGTCTGAGAAAAGCAATTAAGATCACCTGGGGAGGCCCTGCTCTCGATCCCGCCTGCCTCACAGGTGCGTTTGGCAGGGACGAGAGACAGGGCCTTCTCAGTGGTGGCCCCTCGGATGTGGAACTCCTTGCCCAAGGACATTAGATCGGCCCCCCTCCCTCATGACCTTTTGGAAAAGATTGAAGACCTGACTTTTTGAGCAAGTGTTTGGAACTTCAGTGTGACCAGATAAATTCAAATAGGTATATGAACACAGAACAGCGAAGACAATGTAAACAGATGAGGAATTTGAACTGAAAGACATTGGTTTTATAGATTTATATAGTTTTTATTGTTTCTATGGTTTTTATATGTATTATGATGTAATTTAATTGCTTTTAATTGAGATAGTAAAGGTAGTCCCCTGACATTAAGTCCAGTTATGTCTGACTCTGGGGTGTGGTGCTCATCTCCATTTCTAAGCCGAAGAGCCGGCGTTGTCCGTAGACACCTCCAAGGTCATGTGGCCAGCATGACTGCATGGAGTGTCCTTACCTTCCAGCCAGAACGGTACTTATTGATCTACTCACATTTACATGTTTTCGAACTGCTAGGTTGGCATTGGCAGAAGCTAGGGCTGACAGCGGAAGCTCACGCCGCTCCCCGAAATCGAACCTGCGACCTTTCGGTCAACAAGCTCAGAAGGTCAGCGCTTTAACCCACTGCGCCACCGGTGGCTCCTTTAATTGAGATATGTATGTATTTATATACGTCATCTAATAGTGCTGATTCTGTATCCTGCCCTGAGTCGCCTTTGGGTTGAAATGGGCGGGATAGAAATGACGTAAATAAATAAATAATAAACAAATAAATAATGGTATTTGTTAAGAGTGGTCCAGCATTTCTATGTTCTCAAATAATACACTGGGTGAGCAGATGGCGACTACTGGATAGCATATGTTTTGTATCAGAAACTAGAGCTGATGTGGTCTGTCCAATGCAGTTTTCTGAATCAGCACCTCAAATAAACAATCCAAATCTGGACTTGACCAAAAACTGATTTGTAACACTTTTGGTACTAATGTTGGAGAGTGGTCTCTAGTCAAAGTGGTCCATGGTCAAAAAAAGTTTGGGAACCACTGGTTTAGGGCCATTATCTGAGTGAGAGTCATGCAAGTCATCACACTGTCTTCTAACTGTGTAAATTTAAATAAATCTGTACAAATCAAATAATATCAAAGGTGTCAGTTTGAGGATAGTGGGTAAAATTGTTAACATATCTATTGTTAGAGAGAAGGGCCCTCTGAAATAGTCTTTTTATACACATATTGCAGAGAAACATATAATCAAAATCTCAATTTAAAAATCCCCTTTATTTGGAGCCCTCTATTTAAGGTTTCCCTTCACTGATCAATCTAATTAATGTAGCCAATTGATCTGTCAATTAAAACTTGCAGCCCTAGCTCAGCCAGCCACATTTAGAGAATTAAAGGGCATAGAGTCACATGCCGCAAACTCACCTAGAAAGGCGTTCTTCCCTTAGTACTTGGATTACGATGCGAGTAATATTCACAGACATCACGCAGAAAGGGAAATTCTTTAAAGGAAGCAGAAGGAATTCAGAGAAGTGTCTTTGCTAATGAGCATAACTATTCTACATAGGATGCAACTAGTGACTTTTAGTGCAAGACCTAAACACAAGCAAGAGCATCTACAAGGGGTGTTCATTAAAGATTTCCCCTGACCCACTTTTATTTATCACAGGATGCTGAAACTGCACATGTGTAATGATTTAAGTCTCTATAGGTTACGTGCCAATTTACAACTCAGAACTGATAATAATCTTGATTTTACAGGTGCTGAAGGGGTGTGATATTTGATAATGGAGCCAATGGAATACCGAGCAGTCATCAAATTGGGTTGTTGTAGGTTTTTCCGGGCTATATGGCCATGTTCTAGAGGCATTTTCTCCTTACGTTTCACCTGCATCTATGGCAAGCATCCTCAGAGGTAGTGAGGTCTGTTGGAAGTAGGAAAAATGGGTTTATATATCTGTGGAATGACCAGGGTGAGACAAAGGACTTTTGTTTGCTGGGGCTAGCTGTGAATGTTTCAGCTGATCACCTTGATTTGCATTCAATGGCTTGGAAGCGCCTGGGGGGAATCTTTTGTTGAGAGTGATTTCATGTGCCTGTTTGTTTCCCCTCTGTTGTTTGGCACATGAAATCACTCTCAACAAAAGATTCCCCCCCAGGCGCTTCCAAGCCATTGAATGCAAATCAAGGTGATCAGCTGGGAGAAGCACGTGTGAAAAAGATCTTTGGGTCCTCATGGACAACAAGTTAAACATGAGCCAACAATGTGATGCAGCGGCAAAAGAAGCCAATGGGATTTTGGCCTGCATCAATAGGAGTCTAGTGTCTAGATCCAGGGAAGTGATGCTAGCCCTCTATTCTGCCCTGTTTAGACCACATCTGGAATATTTAAAGCAATTCTGGGCACCACAATTGAAGAGAGATATTGACAAGCTGGAATGTGTCCAGAGGAGGGCGACTAAAATGATCAAGGTTCTGGAGAACAAGCCCTATGAGGAGCAGCTTAAAGAGCTGGGTATGTTGAAGAAGAGAAGGCTGAGAGGAGACATGATAGCTATGTATAAATACGTGAGAAGTCATAGGGGGGAGGGAGCAAGCTTGTTTTCTGCTGCTCTGGAGTCTAGGAAGTGGAACAATGGCTTCAAACTACAAGAAAGGAGATTCCATCTGAACATTGGCTGATACCAAATGAGAGACCCCCTCCTGGGCACACAGAAAACTGGGCAACTTGGAAGGTGCTGAACAGACTGCGCTCTGGCACCACGAGATGCAGAGCCAACCTTAAGAAATGGGGCTACAAAATGGAATCCACAACATGTGAGTGTGGAGAAGAGCAAACCACTGACCATCTGCTGTGATGCAACCTGAGCCCTGCTACATGCACAATGGAGGACCTTCTCACAGCAACACCAGAGGCACTCCAAGTGGCCAGCTTCTGGTCAAAGGACATTTAATCAACTACCAAGCTTGCCAACTTTGTGCTTTGTTTGTTTGTTTGTTTGTTAAAAATGCAATACAACTGTTTAGTTTGCTCCTGACACGATAAATAAATAAATCTGAACATTAGGAAGAACATCCTGACTGTGAGAGCCGTTCAGCAGTGGAACTCTCTGCCCCAGAGTGTGGTGGAGGCTCCTTCTTTGGCAGCTTTTAAACAGAGGTTGGATGGCCATCTGACAGGGATGCTTTGCATGTAATTTTCTTGCTTCTTGGCAGAATGGGGTTGGACTGGATGGCCCATGAGGTCTCTTCCAACTCTAGGATTCTATGAAGTGTGTGTCCCTAGGTGGCACCAACAGAGAGGAGGACTCATAACTGTGTCAAGTTTAATTGCTCTCAGTCCACAGGAAGTAGATCAGGGAAAATCTTTAATGAACACCCCTTGTACTTCCTCCCAACAGGTAATATAAGAACCATGGAGGAAATCAAAACATTTATGACAATTTAAAGATGCATCTCCAGAAGAACCATTGCTGGAATTCAGATTACAGACAGGAGTTATGACCCTTAAAACCTTTATTGCAGACTCCTGCAGAGAATGATTTAGCCTATTTGTAATATTATTTTATAATGCAATATACTACTACTACTACTACTACTACTAATAATAATAATAATAATATATTATAATTATATATCTATATTACATGTAATATTACTAAGAATATTACAGTATAATTGATATAGTACAATACAGCAATATTTAAAACTGATATTGTACTATGCTAATAATATATTGTATGTACATATACCTTGTAAGCCGCTCTGAGTCCCCTTCGGGGTGAGAAGGGCGGCGTATAAATGTCGTAAATAAATAAATAACTAGCAGAAAATCAGGTTGCTCAAGTGATTTCTACCACAGCTGTGCAATAACTGAGGAGATTCCATCTGAACATGAGAAAGAACTTCCTGACTGTGAGAGCTGTTCAGCAGTGGAACTCTCTGCCCCGGAGTGTGGTGGGAGCTCCTTCTTTGGAAGCTTTTAAACAGAGGCTGGATGGCCATCTGTCAGGGGTGATTTGAATGCAATATTCCTGCTTCTTGGCAGGGGGTTGGACTGGATGGCCCATGAGGTCTCTTCCAACTCTATGATTCTATGAACTACATTTTAATATCTTGAGCCAAAGCAAAAGAAATAGAGGAAACATGCCTGTGTTTCATGATGGGAAAGCCTGAAAATCTCCCGAGCTACAGGCAATATCCGAGAATCCATTACAAAATATAGTATTTGCATCAATCCTAGCAATCCAGTCCCACGGAGATCTGTGCCTGGATCCAAGCCTAGGTATAAAACACACACACAGAGAAAGCCTGCTATGCAAAACTAATAAAGGCTCTTATGCTGGCCGTACTTGTGAATTATTGCTTTTATAATGTTACATTTGAGGATTGTTAATTGCCAGACATCAATGCTAGATGGCATGCAACCTAATGAAAGTGCAATGTTGTCCCTTCTGAACAAACAATAAAAGACATCTTTCAATTAAATAATCATAACGGGCTACATCCACATTTGAGAATTTGAAAAATAATAATAATCATATGTGAAATTCTCCAAAGAATCACCCATTACTATATGAATTTGCTCATTTCTTAAAATCCTCCACAATGGCCCTCCTCTGAGATCCCAAACTTGCAGATGAGAAAGAGGGCAAAGGGTACATTATAAAAACCCTGAAGGATCGGGTATTTTTGCCATACCTTGAAATCCCAGGTTCTCCCAATGGGCTCCGTAACGGGCGCAATCAAATCGTGAGCCTGTTAATTTCTTGTAGATTGTCTGCAGGATCCGCATGTGCACTTTTTCATTGTTGTCCAAGCTACCTGTACACGGAATCGCTGATTAACATCTTATATGTAACTGGGAACAAGAGCCAGGGCTTTGAGGAGTTTTCTTTCTGGACTACAAAAGGCAATAACTTTTCCAAACAGAAAAAAGAAGATACTTTTAATTTGCAGGGCCCAAGTAAGATCTTGGATAACTAGATGGGAAGCAGAAAAAAAAAATGTTTGGAAAATGCTACCAGTCAAAGTAAAAGAATATCAGGCTATATCAAACCAAAGTCTGATATCTTTCTGTGAGTAAAATATGGGGCCGTGGTGGCTCAATGGGTTAAACTCTTGTGCTGTTGAACTGCTGACCCGAAGGTTGGCAATTTGAATCCGTGAGATGGGGTGAGTTCCCATCTGTAAGCTCCAGCTCCTGCCAACCTAACAGTTCAAAAACATGCAAATGTGAGTAGATAAGTAGAAAAGGCAAATAGATTCTTTTCGCCCCATTGTCTTCATCTGTGCAGCAATATTTTCAAAATTATCAATATTTTCGTGTGATTCCTTAAGTTGGCCCTGGGTCTTCTTTTCACCCCAAATGGGAGATGCAGGACCAGTTCCTTCTCAGCTACATAAGAACCCTTTGCCTTTTTTTCCACAACTCAGAATGGCTGCAGATATCCTGTTAAGAGGGAATGTGCTGATATCTGCATACGTACCCTTATGTCGGAGGAGAAAGAACTCAGGCAAACCACGCCAGCAAATGCCTAAACCTTTGTTACTTGGGTTTAGATGAGAATATTTTAATAAATCAAATGCAGAAATAATCCTTAGAATGTGCTCCTTAACTACCACTATTTGCTTCTCCACATCATCACCAGACAAATGGATACATTTCTACAAACAATGAACAAGTTTTCTAAAGACGTTACGGAAGAAGTCAACACTCTGTTTCTGCAACCAGCGTCTCACAGTTCTCTCAACACCTTCATCAGAAGCATAATGATGTCCCTGCAGATCTTCTTTCATTATCAGGAACAGATGGAAGTCAGACGGTGCTAAATCTGGACTGTATGGAGGATGTTGTATGGTGGTGAGATCCAGTCTCTGAAGTTTCAAGTCTGTGTGCTTTCATTTCAGGCGTCAGCATCCTGGGTACCCATCATGCACAGATCTTCCGATAGCCAAGCAAAGCAAACTTTCTTCTGAAATGCTGATTATGCTTGAAATTTTCTCTTTGAGTGATATGACGATCATCCTGAATCAATCCATCAACCTTTTGCTTGTGAAACTCAGTGGTGGCTGTCACAGGACATCCAATTCTTGGTTTGTCACGCAAGTCAGATGTTCCCACCTCAACATCTTTAAACTTACTCACCCAACGATGCACAGTACTCACATCAACACAATCACCATAAACGGTTTGCATTCTCTGATTTCTCTGATTAATCTCCTTTGGGGTGACACCTTCTGCTGTCAAGAATTCAATGACTGCACGTTGCTTAAGTTGCATTGACCGACCGTCTGTGCAGGGTTCCATACTTCGCACTTTAACAACACAACTGTTCAATGCTAAGACTTCCTGCCAAAACGGAACTGTAGAGGAGAGTCTACTGAACAAGCCAGTACCTGACACATACCAGTACTGCCATCTGTTGAGGAGTTACGAAGGTGGAGGCATTGCTTTTCATTCAACCCTCGTATATTGTGTCAGGATGACAGCAGCTACAAAACGAGGATGGCTCTTTCTATGTGGGTAGACAAGCTCTAAGTCAAATTCCTGACGGGTTAGGAGTTTTCAAGGTTTCACACAAGAGTCTTTCCAAGCCCTACTTAAAAGACTGGATCTGCTTGAAAGGGATATAAAAAGCTGCTCAAGCAAAGAGCCCCCAAAATCTACTTTTTTGGATTGCAACTTCCAGAATTACCAGTCAGAATGCGCTGGCCACATTCTTAATGTGGTGGCCCAAACCAGTATTTATTTATTTATTTATTTGCGGCATTTATATCCCGCCCTTCTCACCCTGAAGGGGACTCAGATTGGCCTTACAAGTTATGTGTATTATATATTACTGTATTGTACTATACCAGTAGACGGCAATATTATTGGTAATATTACATCTTCTATATAAATAAAAATGAATTGTACGTTTGTGGGATTAATATAACTCAAAAACTACTAGAGGAATTGCCACCAAATTTGGCCACAAGACACCTACTAACCCAAAGAGAGACCATCACTCAAAAAAATTGATTTTGTCATTTGGGAGTTGTAGTTGCTGGGATTTATAGTTTACTTACAATCAAAGACCATTCTGAACTCCACCAATGAAGAAAATGAACCAAACATGGAACACAGGACTCCCATGACCAACAGAAAATACTAGAAGGGTTTAGTGGGCATTGACCTTGAGTTTGGGAGTTGTAGTTCACCTACATCCAGAGAGCACCATGGACTCAAACAATGATGGATCTGGACCAAACTTGGCACGAATATTCCATATGCCCAAATATGAACACAGATGGAGTTTGGGGGAAATAGACCCTGACATTGGGGACTTGTACTTACTGGGATTTATAGTTCACCTATAATCAAAGAGCATGCTGAACCCTACCAACGACAGAACTGGGGCAAACTTCCCACACAGAACCCCCATACTTAAGGCCACCCAGTCCAACTCCCTTCACCAGGGCAAGAAAACATAATCAATGCCCTCCTGACAAAGAGCCATCAAGCCATAGATATAGATAGATAGATATAATTCACACACGCAGATTTGAAAGCGACCCCTGAAGAAGGACAATTATATGTTGCATGTTCCAGAGTGGGCAAACCAGACAATCTCCACATCAACACTGATAAAGAAACAGCAAGAAATACTGTTTACCCACAAGTATAAAGAAAATTACATATATGACTTTATTTTCCAGATCACCAGACTGGGCCACAGCAACATGTGGCAGGGGACTGCTAGTCTATATAAATAAAAATGTAATGTTTGTTTGTGGGATTTACATAACTCAAAAACCACTGGATGAATTGACACCAAATTTGGACACAATATACTTATCAGCAGGGCCATAGCCAGAAAAAAATTTGGGGGGGGGGGGGGTGAAATTTTTTTTAGCAAATCATGAAGAGTAGTTCGATAACACAACATTTTTAATACAGTCCAAAGACCCTTATTGCTCCGTAAAAGGTATAAGATACAAGGTATGAAAGGTTAGTAAGGCCAAAAATAGCAAAAAAAAGTTTTCTTTAACCTGAAAAATTTCGGGGGGAGGGGGGGTTGAACCCCAAACACCCCCCCCCCCCGACTATCAGGCCAACAAGTGACCAACACTCACAAAAACACTGAAAAACACAGCAGAAGCAACTTTAAAAGCCAAAAAATTAAAAATACCTTGCAAGGCATGCACAAAACCACACATATACAGAAATATATACACTCATATATACACACACAAAACACATATACGCAAACTGGGCCACAGCAACGCATGGCTAGTGTAATATAAACTATATAATTATTAGATAATTATACTGTATTATTATTAGCATTATATTGTATTACAATAATTATTCCAAGTTCCAGCTACAATTTAAATCTTACCAAATGTTCAAGGTAGGGTGATATTAAAAAAAAGGTAAAGGTAGTCCCCTGACATTAAGTCCAGTCATGTCTGACTCTGGGGGTGGTGCTCATCTCCATTTCTAAGACAAAGAGCCAGCGTTGTCCGTAGACACCTCCAAGGTCATGTGGCCAGCATGACTGCATGGAGCACCGTTACCTTCCTGCCGGAGCAGTACCTATTGATCTACTCACATTTGCATGTTTTCGAACTGCTAGGTTGGCAGAAGTTAGGGCTGACAGCGGAAGCTCGCGCCGCTCCCCGGAATCTAACCTGCGACCTTTCGGTCAACAAGCTCAGCAGCTCAGTGCTTTAACCCACTGCGCCACCGGGGGCTCCAAGGGTGATATTAAGCAAGGTGGAATTCAAACTGAGTAGGTTGCTTGCCTTTTACTATCAGACCAGATACTCACACTGGGCTATTGCCAGGGCTAAGTCCCTCTCACTTTGCAGTTGTTGATAGAGGCGGGGCGGACCGAAGAGGAAATGGGCAATAGCAGCCAGCCCTCTTCTTTGAAGTGTTGGCTGAATCTTTTTCTGGAATAAATATATGTAAAAGGAATAGAGATGTTTGAGAATAGCACCTTCTGGCAGCATCCGTGAAAAAACAACAGAGCCAACTAACCCCTTATACCAGGGGTCCTCAAACTAAGGCCCGCGGGCCGGATACGGCCCTCCAAGGTCATTTAACCGGCCCTTGCTCAGGATCAACCAAAGTCTGGAACAACTTGAAAACACACAACAACAACAACAACAATCCTATCTCATCAGCCAAAAGCAGGCCCACACTTCCCATTGAAATACTAATAAGTTTATATTTGCTAAAATTGTTCTTCATTTTAATTATTGTATTGTTTCAAAGTGTTTTTTTGCACTACAAATAAGATATATACAGTGTGCATAGGAATTCATTCATATATTTTTTTTCAAATTATAATCTGGCCCTCCAACATTTTGAGGGACTTTGACCTGGCCCTCTGTTTAAAAAGTTTGAGGACCCCTGCCTTATACAATTACACAGGAAATAAAATAATTATAATACTTATCATACTGGCGAAAAGGTCCTCAGATCTCACTTTGGCAGCTCCTGAAGCCTTTAGTTCTCTGAAAATTCTCTGATTCTCAAAATATATTCGTTATTTGTTTGGGGGGGGGGGGGGATGTCATTGCCATCCTCTGAGGATGAGAGTCTTTGGCCTGCCAATGGCCAGCCAGCAGGTTTCCAGTTGTTGTTTTTTAATTATGTCAGAAACGAATTGAGAATATACTGCAATTCGCTTCTGGTGTGAGAGAATTGGCCGTCTGTAAGGACAATGCCCAGGGGACGTGTGGATGTGTGGGAGGCTTCTCTCATCTCCCCACATGGGAAGCTGGGGCTGACATATGGGAGCTCACCCCATCTCGCGGATTCAAACCGTCGACCTTTAGGTCAGCAGTTCAGCTGGCACAAGGGTTTAATCCATTGTGCCACCTCGGCTCCTGGGTTTCCAGTGTCAAGTATGGATTCAAATTCGGACCTCCATAGTCATAATCCAATGCTCAAAGCACTACGCCATACTGGCTCACATGGAAAGACTGGAGGGTCTAAAATTCAGAGTTCAAAGTGAGATGTGGCCGGTGGAAAAAGTATTTTCTGAACTGAATATATATAAATTCTATAGGACAAAATTAATGCATTTTGAGCCTCCAGTGGCGCAGTGGGTTAAACCCCTGTGCTAGCAGGACTAAAGACCGAGAGGTCGCAGGTTCGAATCGGGGGAGAGGCGGATGAGCTCCCTCTATCAGCTCCAGCTCCTCATGAGAGAAGCCTCCCACAAGGATGATAAAAACATGAAATCATCTGGGCATCCCCTGGGCAACATCCTTGCAGACGGCCAATTTTCTCACACCAGAAGCGACTTGCAGATTCTCAAGTCTCTCCTGATATGACAAAAAAAAAAAAACCAAACTGCATTTTGAGATGGCTCGCCTCCTACTACTGTTAGAATGGACCAGAATTATCTGTGTTCGCATACACTGGAAACAGTATGCGTATGTATAAACTCTGGGATGGTGAGGACTTCCCATTACAGTAAAATCATCAGCTACTGGCTGCAGTAATTCTACCTCTCTCTGCCAAAATGAAATACAAATAAGAATACTCACGACCAAACAAGAACTGACAGTATGGTCAATGCCTAAAATATTTCACTAATATGGCTCTCAAAGCAATTCTGGCTGGCACATACATACCCTGCAGTCGGAGAGATCTGTTGTTTGAAAATACTGCAGTGCTTCATTGAAAGAGATCAAGGGTATGGGGCCAAAAGACTTTTCCAATATTCCTACAAAAAAGAAGAACAAAGAATTAATTTTTTGACCTGTGAATGCACAAAGCAGCTTGCAATAAAAGAATGAAAAAGGTCAAGAGCTCAAGATAATAATAATTATTATTATTATTATTATTTATTTATTTATTTATTTATTTATTTATATTCCACCCTTCTCACCCTGAAGGGGACTCAGCGTGGATCACAGCACACATACATGGCAAACATTCAGTGCCGCTTTTGTATAGACAATACACAGAAAGGAAGTGTTGTTGACTCAGTGTCCAGCTGTTTTGTTTTTTGGGGGTTTTTTGGTGCCAAGGAAGGTGAGTCCAGCCACAGGAGGTGCTGTTGATTTTAAAGTATGGCACTTGAATCTATGTTGTATTTATATCTGTACTGTTCATACATGAAACTGAAATAGGCACATTATGGGTTAAGCTCTCGCCGTCAGCCCTGTTTGAAAACAGCAATGTAAGTAGATAAATAGGTACCACTTTGGCGAGGAGGTAAAAAGGCACCTCTGGAAACATGCTGGCAGTTTGATCAGGAAGGTGTCCATGGACAACAGGTTCCTTGGCGTGGAAAAATGAAACAACAGCACCTCCCCAAGGCCAAGTCGAGCACAGCCTCCAGATGCCGGAGATGAAAAAAGAGGGAAGCCTTGCCTCTGTTTATGTACTGTCTGTCTTTGCTGTCGACTGCATAACAGCATTAAATGTTTGCCATATATGTACACTGTAATCTGCTCTGAGTCCCCTCGGGGAGATAGAGCGAAATATGAATAAAGTATATTATTATTATTATTATTATTATTATTATTATTATTATTATTATTATTAGAAATACAACAAGATGAGTCCACAGCAGACAAGATCACTCTTCTGACTGTTGTACTGGATCACACGTCGGACACTTCCCAAGTGTCTAGGACTGTGTGATGTATTAGGGAATGATGTGTGCAGATCCCAGTAAGGTGGCCTTCTGCAGCTGGCAAATGGTAATCTTGTCAGCGTCGATTGGGTTTAAGTGCAGGCCAAGGTGTTTAGGCACTGCACCCAGTGTGCCGATCACCACTGGGACCACCTTGACTGGTTTGTGCCAGAGTCTTTGCAGTTCGATCTTTAAATCCTCATATCATGTGAGCTTTTCCAGTTGTTTCTCTTCAATCCTGCTGTCACCTGGGACTGCAACATCGACGATCCACACTCTGTTTTTTAACACAATTGTGAGGTCAGGAGTGTTGTGCTCCAAAACTCTGTCAGTCTGAATTCCTAAGTCCCAGAGTAGTTTGGCGTGTTCAGGCTTGTGATCCCACCAGTTCTTTGTTGCAGGCAGATGGTATTTGTGGCACGAGTTCCAATGAATCATCTGCGCAACAGTGCTATGCCTCTGCTTATAGTCTGTCTGCGCAATCTTCTTGCAGCAGCTGAGGATATGATCGATTGTTTCATCTGCTTCTTGCAGAGTCTATATTATTATTATTGTTGTTGTTGTTGTTGTTGTTGTTGTTATTATTATCATCATCATCATCATCATCATCATCATCATCATCATCATCATCATCAAACCAGATGGTGAAGAGCTCCAAAAACGACTCCATATTGGGTGACTGGGTCCACAAAGTATTACTATTGTGCAATAAAATACAGATTGCATGCAAAGCAAGATCTTACACTACATAAGAATTTTGTAGTATCTACTAGGATTGTTCTGCTCCTATTTCTGAGTAAACATGAATAAAGTGAGGTTATACACACACAAAAGGAAAGAAAGAATGCTACATTTGCTTATTCACAATTAGACAGCATATTTGTTAAGTAAGCCACTATATTCAAGCCATTGCCCTTGCCTAGAAGAGCCAGTGAGATTTCAGAAGTTGATCTTTTAATGTACACCATAGTATCTTATGCAGAAAGCCTTGCCTCAATCTCATTAAGGCTGCAGTCCTTAATCTTTCATCTTAATCTTTAATTCTGCAGTTAAAGAGTAAAGCATATTTAACTCTTCAATCCTTTACTCACGAAAAGCAGAATTCCAGTTGAATACTAATATTACTAGATTCCTGCTCTGAAATTCCGGCATCCATGGCAAAACATAAAAATCCTGCCATCCTTCCAGCAAACTGACCACACTTTTCAACCTGAATTAGAAAAAGGTTGTGGCTTTATTGAATCATAGTTAAAACGTTTTGCTAATTAGCTTCCTGTAATCTTTCAAAGCCACACTATATCATTTTTAAAGGCAAAATCCATTTCAAGTTGATTAATTTCAATGTGATAATCCACTCTCATCCCATTTGAAATCAGAATATAGGCTTTCTGATCTCAATAGCATACATTTTTATCTTAATTATGAACACTACAAATCCTATGAGAAAGAACAACTCCCCAAATGATCTTGGGTAGCACTCTGCAAATCCAAAGATGGGGAGGGATGGCTGGGCAAAGCCACTGCATGGCTCCAGTTCAACAGGATTTAAAAATTTGAGGAAGCATAATTCCAATGCAACTCTTAAGGCTTATCCTCTAAGCTGGGTTCCAACATGAAGACATTTCATGACTCCCTGAATATGAAGCACAGAGTCCAGATAGATCAATGGTTCCCAACCTGTAGTCCGTGGACCACCAGTGGTTAGCAAGAATGAAAATATGTATTGTCGAAGGCTTTCATGGCTGGAATCACTAGGTTCTTGTGGGTTTTTTCGGGCTATAGGGCCATGTTCTAGAGGCATTTCTCCTGACGTTTTGCCTGCATCTATGGCAAGCATCCTCAGAGGTAGTGAGGTCTGTTGGATATAGGACAATGGATTTATATATCTGTGGAATGGCTGGGGTGGGGCAAAGAGTTTTTCTCTGCTGGAGCTAGGTGTGAATGTTTCAACTAACCACCTTCATTAGCATTTGAAGGCCTGGCTGAGCCTGGGAAAATGTTCTGTTGAGAGGTGTTAAGATGTGCCTGGTTGTTTCCTCTCTGCTGTTTTGCTGTTGTAATTTTAGAGTTTTTTAATACTGGTAGCCAGATTTTGTTCATTTTCATGGTCTCTTCCTTTCTGTTGAAAGGAATAGTAGACTCCTGCAGAGGTAGTATACGGTAGACTCCTGCAGAGGTGAGAGGATCCTTTTTGTCCTTTGTTGAACGTAGCATTTGTTGGATTTTCTTGGTGGGTTTGTAGAATGTTTGTATGTTGTGTTTGTATGTTGTTTGTATGATTGTTTGTATGTTGTGTTTCCATGCAGCTGTGGACAAGTCTACATAGGGACCACCAAACGCAGCATTGCCCAAACATGAATCAAGGAACATGAAAGGCACTGCAGACTACTTCAACCAGAGAAGTCAGCCATAGCAGAGCACCTGATGAACCAGCCTGGACACAGCATATTATTTGAGAACACAGAAATGCTGGACCACTCAACCACCATGTCACACTACACAGAGAAGCCATTGAAATCCACAAGCATGTGGACAATTTCAACAGAAAGGAGGAAACCATGAAAATGAACAAAATCTGGCTACCAGTATTAAAAAAAACTCTAAAATTCCAACAACACAACAACAGGCACATCTTAACACCTCTCAACAAAAAAATTTCCCAGGCTCAGCCAGGCCTTCAAATGCTAATGAAGGTGGTCAGTTGAAACATTCACACCTAGCTCCAGCAGAGAAGAGCTCTTTGCCCCACCCCAGCCATTCCACAGATATATAAACCCATTGTCCTAATTCCAACAGACTTCACTAACACTGAGGATGCTTGCCATAGATGCAGGCGAAACGTCAGGAGAAATGCCTCTAGAACATGGCCCTATAGCCCGAAAAAACCCACAAGAACCTAATGAAAATATGGAAATGAAAATTACTACACCGTTGCCTCAAAACCACACGGCAACGAGAGCTTTTGGTCTCATGAAACCCTCTTATAATGCTGAGGCAATGGAGATTTCAAGAGAGGAGAGGCTGACTACCCATGAAAGATTACTATCTTGAAAATTACTATCTTACTACCCTGGAAATGCCCTCAGATACCTTTAGGGTGCATTTGAAGGCATTTTGCAACAAAACAACAGGAAGGAGAACAAGGAAAAGGAGCAGGAGAACAAGAAGAAATTTTCTTTTGGCAAAACGTTATTTGTTAACCCCTGTGCAGTACAAAATTGGCTCTGGGGATCTATGTTCCAACATTTGATTACTGCTTGAATTAGGGCACAGGAGACTAGATTTTTGGCGAATGGGACAACAAGATGTGACTTTGCTTTTATATGTTGGGTTTTCAATTTTCAATATTATAGATGTATTGTTATTATGTTCAGGCACTGACTGTTTGCCTTTTATGTTTGGAATCCTCCCTGAGTCCTTCCGGGGATACAGGGCAGAATATAAATAACGTTTTATTATTATTACTAGCCGTCCCCTGCCACACGTTGTTGTGGCCCAGTCTGTGTATATGTGTTTTGTGCGTATAAAGGTAAAGGTAAAGGTAGTCCCCTGACATTAAGTCCAGTCATGTCTGACTCTGGGGTGTGGTGTTCATCTCCATTTCTAAGCCAAAGAGCCAGCGTTGTCCGTAGACACCTCCAAGGTCATGTGGCCGGCATGACTTCATGGAGCGCCGTTTGTGCGTATACAGGTGTGCATATGTGTCTGTATATATTTGTGTGTATTTATTTATTTATTTATTTCAATTATTTGTACCCCGCCCTTCTCAACCCCTGCTGGGGGACTCGTATGTGTATATACACATATGGAAATGAGTACCAACCCCCAGAGTCAGACACGACTGAACTTAATGTCAGGGGAAAACCTTTATCTTTTACCTATGTGTATATATTTGTGTTTGTGTATATATATGTGGTTTTGCCCATGCGTTGTGATGGTTTTTATTTTATTTTTTAAGTCGCTTTCGCTGTGTTTTTCAGTGTTTTTATGAGTGGTCACTCATTGGCCTGATAGGTGTATTATGTCCAAATTTGGTATCAATTCACCCAGTGGTTTTTGAGTTATGTTAATCCCACAAACAAACATTACATTTTTATTTATATAGATAGATATGTGTGCATGGTTTCGTGCATGCGTTATAATGTAATTTTTGGGTTTTTTTGCTTTTTAAGTCCCTTCTGTTGTGGGTTTCAGTGTTTTTTGGTGATGGTCACTTGTTGGCCTGATAGGTGTATTGTGTCCAAATTTGGTGTCAATTTGTCCAGTGGTTTTTGAGTTATGTTAATCCCACAAATGAACATAACATTTTTATTTATATAGATTATTATTATTATTATTACTACTACTACTACTACTACATCAGCTCCAGATTATTAAATATGATTTTCTGTGAGTGAGCAGGTGGCAACTACTGGATGGTATATGATCTGTATCAGAAACTAGAGCTGATGTGGTCTATCCAATGTAATTTTCTAAATCAGTACCCCAAATAACCAAACTGAATCTAAAGTTGACCAAAAACCATTTCGTAACTTTTTTTGGTACTAATGTTGGAGAGTGGTCCCTGGTGAACTCCTGGTCAAAAAAAAAAGGTTGGGAACCACTAAGACTGATGGACACATGTGTCTGTTGGACACATGTGTGCATACAGATTCACACACCCCTAGTACAAATATGACCACACTACACAAAATGTCTGCCTCTTTATGTTCCATGACCAGTTTCGTTACGTTCTCGCCATGATGCTAAACAACATGCTCAAAAAAGCCATCTTGTCTTCAGTGTCATCAGTTGGGAGTCCCTCCCCCCAACACCAACTGCTGCTCTGGAACCAGAGTAAAGAGAGGGGTCCAAGAAGATATTGTATTTATTTTATTTATTGTATTGTATATTACTTGGAAGCCACTCTGAGTCCCTTTCGGGGTGAGAAGGGCGGCATATAAATATCATAAATAAATAAATAAATAAATATTGAATTTGTTCAAAAGGAAAATGAAAGCATTAACAACGTGCACAAGCTTTAATATTAGCACGCGCAGAACTCGTTAAATCGACAACATTTACACTGAAATTTCTGTGGTACCGTTTCTTGATTATCGTCCATACTAATAAATTTCAATGCTTGATAATAGCTCTCTATCATGATGGAAGATTATCATACCTCCAGGAAGTACATTTGCCACAGAATCCCACTCTTCCCTGGCTTGCAGGACCTCCGCACTAACATCTAAGAGGAAAGAGAAAGGGAATGAATCGAAATGAAATACAACAGAGGTAAAATTATAATCCAGGCATGGGCCAACTTCGGCCCTCCCTCCAGGTGTTTTGGACTTCAACTCCAACAATTCTTAACAACCGGTAGGATGATAGGTATTCTGGGAGTTATTTATTATTTATTTATTTAAAACATTTATATTCTAGCCTTCTCACCCCGCAGGGGACTCAGGGCGGAGCACAACATATAGACAGCAAACATTCAATGCCGGGACGTAAAACCATAAATATATACAAACATTAAAATCACTTGTATTCACATTAAAAGTTGTTTAAAACCATCTCAGGAAACCATTTTGCTTCACTGCACTGCCCCAAAGGCTTGTTTTGAAGTCCAAAACACCTGGAGGGAGGGCCGAAGTTGACCCATGCCTGTATATAAGATTTAATATTGCCGAAATTAGTTCTAATTAAAAAAAAAGTTCTCTTACACACATAAAACGGCTCCCTGCTCTTATTGTGGACTTAGAGTAAAGTGTGGAATAAAAACTCTCCTAAACCAGAGATTTAGGCAACATGCGTGCTCTCTCCCAACGTATTTGAGAACCACAAACACAATGAGGCAGCGTGACTCCCCAATTGAACATAAGGACCACACTGCAAGTCCCAAGATGAGAAAAAGGGGTGGACCGATATCATAAATAGTTTCCCTTATCCAAAATCCTTTTCAATTGAATGCTCCCAGAAGGTGGGGCTGGGAAACTGTTGCTCAGCCTCTTGGCCATTGATCTTCAGCATTCTATAGGTCTCAATACTGTCCTCTATACTTTTAAACATCCATATGAAGCCACTAGAAATCATCCAGGGTTTTAGTGTTAGGTATCACCACGATGCTGAACCTACCCAAATCTCTCCCTCTCTTTCCCTTTACCAAAGAAGCTGTGGAAATACAGAATCATCATCTAGATGCGGTAAAAGATTGGATGTGGGTGAATAAACTAAAAGTTGCTTTCAACTTTGTCCAATGAGAGAGCTGCTTCACATTGGGTAGCTGCTTCTATTCATATAGTTGTAGTAAAGAGAGAGATCAGAAGCAAGCTCAGCTCTACTGACTCAGCTGAGAAGCCAGCTCAGTTTGGCTCCTTCTTTCGTTCAACTGCCATCTGTCATTATTCTGATAAGGATCATTAGGAGAATGACAGCAATCTTCTCAGTGGGCTCAAAGGGATATGACTTAGTCACTGATAGTAGTGATGGCTACAGCTCTTCAGCATCCTATCTCAACAGAAAGAAAGAAAACACAACAGGATTTAAGGTGTTGCATTCAGTTAACCTGGTACGCTACCTGCTTCTCTGCATCCATTAGGTGTTGCCGACAATGATTGCAGGAGTCCATTCTGCTTCAAAGCAGAGATCTAAAAGAGGGAGATACTGTCAGAGTACAAGAAAAGGCATATACCTATTGGCACCCCCTCCGCAGGGTTTCATCAAGTCTAAGGTGTTTTGAATGGCTCCAAAATGAGATTGGAACTGATTTGCAAATGTAAAGTAACTGACATAGGGAAATGGAACGACTAGACAATGAGTCCGGACAACGTTTTTAACAAGGAGATACGATAAATTTATATTTTATTGATTTGTTTTGTTTTTATTATATGTTATGTTTTTAATCATATTTATGACACTGTAAGCATTGCATTTTGCCCTGTTGACCGCCTTGAGTCGCCTACGGGCTGAGAAAGGCGGTATACAAATACAGTAAATAAATAAATAAATTAGAGAAAGGGCTGCCACAAACTTCAATTTAAAGAATTTCTTGTCAAGGTCCATATCCCCTTGGATGCAGTCTCTCATGCCGGTGCAAGAGGAGTCAGGGTCAAATAAAGCACTCACTCTGTTTCTGCTACCCTCTTCACTTTGTCTCCAATTTCTTCTTTTATATCACTGAGTACAGGTAAAGGTTTCCCCTGACAGTAATTCTAGTCGTGACCGACTCTGAGGGGTGGTGTTCATCTCCATTTCCTATATGACCTATAAAGCCCTATGCGGTTCTGGCCCAGCTTACTTGTCCGAACATATTTCCCCCTACATCCCACCTCGAAACTTACAATCCTCCAGGGAGGCACTGCTCTCAATCCCACCTTTGTTGCAAATGCGCTTGGTGGGGACAAGGGACAGGGCCTTCTCGGTGGTGGGCCCCCGTCTGTGCAACTCACTCCCCAGCAAAATTAGGTCAATGACTTCCCTCCTTTCCTTCAGGAAAAAGTTGAAGATGTGGCTATGGGACCAGGCATTCGAATATCAGGCTGACAATAGAAATGACGATAATGCTAGGGAAAAAGGACTATGGACAGGCTTCCGATTAAGTTGATCATATAATGCGGACTTGACATGCCAACTAATTCAATTTGTTCTATCTTAAATGGTTTTTAATCGAATTTTAATGTTTTAACTTATTATGTAACTGTTGCATATTTGTTGTTTATGTGGGGCATTGAATTGTTGCCAGCTGTAAGCTGCCCTGAGTCCCCCTTCTCCCAGATCTCAAACTTGGCAGATGCAATCCCATCACGGTCCATCCCATCTCATTCACCATCATGGTCTTTTCCTGCTTGGTAGATGGTTGTGGCCATCTACAAATTGGATTGCATCTGCCAAGTTTGAGAACTGGGGGTACTCTTTAATCATATTTTGGTGACTAAAGGTGCAGTTTACTCCATTCCTACTGGTTCAGTGGTTGCAATGGTACATGGTTTGTCTACAAGGTATAAGGCTCTAATATATTTACGATTCAATAACTGTAATGCATTCAGCAACTGCAATGGGCCACCCCTGAAGAGGACTCAAAAGCACCAGCTTGCACAGAACACAGTAGCCAGAACTGTAACTAGTGCATCCAGGTGGAATCATATTGCACCAATTCACTGGCTGCCAACACATTTCCAAGTCTAAGCCAAAGCACTGGTTATTACCTTTAAAACCCTAAGTAGCTTGGGACTAAAACATATGAAACAGTACCTCTTCCAGGATAAGCCTGCCTGACTTTAAGACTATAAGCAGAGGCTCTGTCACAACAAGGAAGTGAGCCTTCTCTGTCATGGCAGCTTTATTGTGGAACTCCCTCCCCACCGGGATACAATGGCACTTACATTTATTATTTCCACTGCAAGGTCAAAACTACTTGCTTGCCCAGGCGTTTAAACTTTCGTCCAGAAAAGCAGGACATGTTAACTCCCCCAAGATGCGTATCGTGTTGCAGAATCCACTCAGCACTGCAAAGGCAGGCATTTTACCTCAACTCTAGAATACTTCCCTTGATTTCAGTGAGCCCTTTAGGCAACCTGGCCATAGCAAGCCTGAGTGACTTCCACTTATTCATCTAAATATTTCCTATTATCTTTCAGTTTACAAAAATAAATTATTTCTAATCTCTCGCTTCTACCTCCGTCTCAGTGGGTGGGGACAAGGGAGAGCGCCTTTTTGGTGATGCCCCCTCAGCTCTGGAACTCTCTGCCTAGGGATCTCAGACTGACACCTACCCTGTATATCTTCTGCAAGAACCTAAAAACATGGATGTTCCACTGTGCTTTTGACTAGGCAGTTCTAAAGAATTGGCCAATGTTACCTAAGTTTCCGGCACTTTAACATGTGCTAATGTGCCGGATATTTTACACCCAAGAACATTATTCTGACATTTTAATGCCCAAGAACATTATTCTCCCAGCCCTGCCTTTTGATTTTGCACTTTCTCATGCTGTAGCTCTATCTAGGAATTTTGCACAAACTCAGAGCTCTCTGAACTCTGCACTTTATTGCTCAGCATTGCAAAGTTTTTATTGTGTTATGTTTTATTGTGATATGTTTTTGTTTTGTTTTATGGTTTTAACTCTGTGTTCTTTGGGCTTGTCCCTTTGTAAACTGCCCAGAGTCCCCTTGGGGAGTTGGAGGCGGGGTATAAAAATAAAGTTATTATTATTATTATAGAGAATTGTGAATTTTAAAAAACAAACAGAAAATGTACAAACCATTACTTTACAGGGTTGCTGTGAGTTCTCTGGGCTGTATGGCCATGTTGCAGAAAGCCATACAGCCTGGAAAACTCACAGGAACCCAGTGATTCCAGCCATAAACGCCTTCGACAGCACATATTTACTTTACATACATACATTTATATCTATCTATATCTATATATCTCTATCTATCTATCTATCTCTATCTATCTATATAAGTTACATTTTTGGCAAACACAAAGAGCTGGTAACTACATAAAGCACATGTCCCACCTCAGTATTTGGGTACCACAAACATCCCAGTGGATATGGAGCATTTATGTTTCCTCAAATACATTGGAAAGCATGGCAGCGAGGAAATACATCAGATTAGGCCCTCAAAACTTTTCATTTATATGCCTGGATGAGTGTCAAAACAGTTTGCCTTTACTGTTTCAATTCTGTTATCCTATATTTCCGCTGCATAGCCCATTAGGATTTTTGTAGTCCTCATAGGTTTCATAACACAAAGTGCAGTGCAAAATCATTCCTAATTATTAATTACTGTATATACTCGAGTATAAGCCTAGTTTTTCAGCCCCCTTTTTAGGTTGAAAAAGCTCCCCTCGGTTTATACTCAAGTCAAGATTATTTATTATTTTATTCTGTTATTAGTATTATTTTATTACCTTTATTATTTTATTCTATTTATTATTATTATTATCATTATTATTATTATTATTATTATTGCATTTATTATTTTTCTCTATTTCTTATTGTTTATATTACATTTATATAATAAAATAAATAAATAATCTATTTATTATTATTATTATTCTTACATATATTATTTTACTCTCTTCATTATTATGGGAAGAATAGGTGAGCACATTTACATGGAAGGTGAGAATCATGGTTTAATCAGAGTTGGACAGCCTTATCTTAAAATTACAGTTTTATGTAAATATCCAAAAGCATTTAATCTACTGAAGCCTCAATTAATGTAATTTTATTGGTATCTATTTTTATTTTGCATTTCCCACTCTCGGATTATACTCGAGTCAATACATTTTCCCAGTTTATTGTGGCAAAATTAGATGTCTCGGCTTATATTCGGGTTGGCTTATACTCGAGTATATACAGTATTAATGCTGTAGGAAGAGAGTTATGGATACTGATTTAAGAACTCAGCAAACTACTTTGTTTGTATTGTCGAAGGCTTTCATGGCTGGAATCACTGGGTTGTTGTAGGTTTTTCGGGCTATATGGCCATGATCTAGAAGCATTCTCTCCTGACCTGCATCTATGGCAAGCATCCTCAGAGGTTGTGGGGTCTTTAAGTTTACAATATAATGGCTCTTTTTTCCCTTTAAGATCATGGTTTGCAGTACTCTTTTATCCACATCAAAGGTTTGGTTTGATTTATGTATCTTTTCTTCCCATTTTGATGACGGTTTGTGTATTTTAACTGTTGCAAGTTACCTTTGATAGTAACCAGAATACTTACATGGACAGATTTGTAACCTGGATACGTAACATTCTGATCTTCATGTTGGCAGTAGTTGTCTGTGCTACATCGGTTCATCCCCTAATGGAAACAATAAAATCAGAGTCACTGGGGAGCACATTAGTCTCAAAGTCTCCTATGTACGAAGGAAGAGAGAACATGTTGGAAGTTGTAGTCATAGTTGCTTTTGTCAATTAGCACCCAAAATAGAAGCCATTGCAGAAACTCCATAGAAATTCTGCAATGCTAAAATTCACTGTCTGATCATACCAGTTTAGTGGCCATGCCCCATTAATTCCCCCAACCAATAAGGCCGCCCATCAATGGACATGACTACACCCCCTTGATCCCCCAATCAATAAAGCCCGCACACCAATAGCTTATCACTAGCATGGCTTCACCCCCTTGATCCCCCTAATCAATAAGTCCCGCCCACCAATACCTCATCAGGGACATGACTCTGCCCTCTTAAGCCCCCTAATCAATGGGGCTTGCCCACCAATACCTCATCGTAGGCATGGCTCCGCCCCCTTGATCCCATTAATTAATGCCCACAAGTACCTCATCACTGACATGATTCTGCCCCCTTGACCCCCCCCTTACCTGTACGTCCCGCCCACCAATACCTCATCACTGGCATGGCTCCTCCCCCTTGATGCCCCTAATAAGGCTTGCCCATCAATACCTCATCATTGACATGACTCCTCCCCCTTGATCCCCAATCCAATAAGTCCCGCCCACCAATACCTCATCACTGGTATGGCTCTGCCCCCTTGATGCACCTAACCAATAAGTCCCACCTACCAATACCTCATTATTAACATGACTCCTCCCCCTTGGGCCCCAATCCAATAAGTCCTATCCACCAATGCCTCATCACTGGCATGGCTCCTCCCCGTTGATCCCTCTAACCAATAAGCCCCACCCACCAATACCTCATCACTGGCATGGGTCCTCCCCCTTGATCCCTCTAACCAATAAGCCCCAACCCCCAATAACTCATCGTTGACATGGCTCCTCCCCCTTGAGCCCTCTAACCAATAAGCCACACCCACCAATACCTCATCGTGGACATGACTCCTCCCCTTTGATATCCCTAACCAATAAGCCCCACCCACTAATACCTCATCATTGGCATGGCTCCTCCCCCTTGATCCCTCTAACCAATAAGCCCCACCCACCAATACCTCATCATTGACATGGCTCCTCCCCCTTGATCCTTCTAACCAATAAGCCCCACCCACCAATACCTCATCATTGGCATGATTCCTCCCCGTTGATCCTTCTAACCAATAAGCCCCACCCACAAATACCTCATCATTGGCATGGCTCCTCCCCCTTGATCCCTCTAACCAATAAGCCCCAACCCCCAATAACTCATAGTTGACACGGCTCCTCCCCCTTGAGCCCTCTAACCAATAAGCCACACCCACCAATACCTCATCATTGACATGGCTCCTCCCCCTTGATCCCTCTAACCAATAAGCCCCACCCACCAATACCTCATCATTGACATGACTCCTCCCCCTTGATCCCTCTAACCAATAAGCCCCACCCACCAATACCTCATCATTGGCATGGCTCCTCCCCCTTGATCCCTCTAACCAATAAGCCCCAACCCCCAATAACTCATCGTTGACATGGCTCCTCCCCCTTGATCCCTCTAACCAATAAGCCCCACCCACCAATACCTCATCTTTGGTATGGCTCCGCCCCTCGATGCTCTTAACCAATAAGGCCCGCCCACCAATACCTCATAGCTCCGCCCCCTTGATCGCCAAGCCAACAAGGCCCGCCCACCAATGCTTCAATACAACATCGCTATAGCCCCGCCCCCTGGAGGCCCCTAACCGATGAGGCCCCGCCCCCAATGGCCCAATTCCTGAGTTTAGCCCCGCCCTCTGGTTCTCTCAGGAATAGGCTCAGCCCAATACGATATTGAGGCCAAGACCCCCTCCCTCCCTCCCTCGCCTGGGGAGTGGGGCGCCCCCGCCGGAATGTACCCAAGGAGGCGTCATCGCGGGCAGCTCGGCTCCTTCGCCCCTCCGCCGCTCCAGCCCCGGCTCCGTCGCTCACCCACCCACTCGCGCTGCGGCGCATGCGCGGCGCTTGGGATGCCGGGAGTGGTAGTCCCAGCCTCGCAGCATGGGCGCATGCGCGTCGCCGGTTCCCTTCCCTCGCTCTCTGCAACAGGGAAAGGCACAATCAAAGCACTCCCGACAGATGGCCATCCATCCTGTGCTTACACGACTCCAAAGGAGGATAAGAAGCTACAGTATTGACCGGGCATGGGCAAAATCCACATTATCTGCTTTGAACTGGATTATAAGGCTGGATGGCCATCTGCCAGGGGTGCTTTGCAATATTCCTGCTTCTTGGCAGGGGGTTGGACTGGATGGCCCATAAGATCTCCTCCATGATTCTATATTATTATATTTATATTATAATTATATATTATATATTACATGTAATATTACTGAAAATATATAATGGTCGATTCCGGGGAGCGGCGTAAGCTTCCGCTGTCAGCCCTAGCTTCTGCCAACCTAGCAGTTCGAAAACATGCAAATGTGAGTAGATCAATAGCTACCGCTCCGGTGGGAAGGTAACGGCGCTCCATGCAGTCATACCGGCCACATGACCTTGGAGGTGTCTACGGACAACGCTGGCTCTTCGGCTTAGAAATGGAGATGAGCACCACACCCCAGAGTCAGACATGACTGGACTTAATGTCACCTTTACCTTTACCTATAGTACAATATACTGTACCATTATATATGGCTGGGAGTCAGCTGCGTTCAATAACTACTGACCAAGAGATCATGAGTTCGAAACCAGCCCAGGTCAGAGTGAGCTTCCGACCAATTTGTGTAGCTTGCTGTTGACCATTGCAGCCCGAAAGACAGTTGCATCTGTCAAGTAGGAAATTTAGGTACCGCTTATGCAGGGAAGCTAATTTATTTATTTATTTACAACATTTATATGCCGCCCTTATTATAATTATATATTGTATATTACATGTAATATTACTGAAAATATATAATGGTATAGTACAATATACTATACCGTTATATATGGCTGGGAGTCGGCTGTATTCAATAACTACTGAGTTCGAAGCCAGCCCGGGTCAGAGTGAGCTTCTGACCAATTTGTGTAGCTTGCTGTCGACCTTTGCAGCCCGAAAGACAGTTGCATCTATCAAGTAGGAAATTTAGGTACCGCTTATGCGGGGAGGCTTATTTATTTATTTATTGATGACATTTATATGCCGCCCTCCTCACCCCGAAGGGGACTCAGAGCGGCTTACAAGGTATATATACATACAATATATTATATTATTAGCATAGTACAATATCAGCATTAAACATTGCTATATTGCACCATACCACTATATCATAGAATCAAAGAGTTGGAAAAGACCTCATGGGCCATCCAGTCCATTCCCGTGCCAAGAAGAAGGAATATTGCATTCAAATCATCCCTGACAGATGGCCATCCAGCCTCTGTTTAAAAGCCTCCAAAGAAGGAGCCTCCACCACACTCCGGGGCAGAGAGTTCCACTGCTGAACAGCTCTCACAGTCAGGAAGTTCTTCCTCATGTTCAGATGGAATCTCCTTTCTTGTAGTTTGAAGCCATTGTTCCGCGTCCTAGTCTCCAGGGAAGCAGAAAACAAGCTTGCTCCCTCCTCCCTATGACTTCCTCTCACATATTTATACATGGCTATCATATCTCCTCTCAGCCTTCTCTTCTTCAGGCTAAACATGCCCAGCTCTTTAAGCCTGCTCCTCATAGGGCTTGTTCTCCAGACCCTTGATCATTTTAGTCGCCCTCCTCTGGACACATTCCAGCTTGTCAATATCTCTCTTGAATTGTGGTGCCCAGAATTGGACACAATATTCCAGGTGTGGTCTAACCAAAGCGGAATAGAGGGGTAGCATTACTTCCTGGACCTAGACACTATGCTCCTATTGATGCAGGCCAAAATCCCATTGGCTTTTTTTCCCGCCACATCACATTGTTGGCTCATGTTTAACTTGTTGTCCACGAGGACTCCAAGATCTTTTTCACACGTACTGCTCTCGAGCCAGGCATTGCCCATTCTGTATCTTTGCATTTCGTTTTTTCTGCCTAAGTGGAGTATCTTGCATTTGTCCCTGTTGAACTTCATTTTGTTAGTTTTGGCCCATCTCTCTAATCTGTCAAGATCATTTTGAATTCTGCTCCTGTCCTCTGGAGTATTGGCTATCCCACATCTGGAAGACAATAATCTTCGGGCTACGAGTGATCGCCTAAGTAAAGTAAGTATTATGTGGCCAAAGTACTCCATCTTTGCCTCTACTGTCCTTCCCTCCAGTAAGCAGTCAGGCATTCTTTCCTGGAGCATTTCCTGGTTTGATCTTCTTGCGGTCCAAGGCACTCTCAAAATTTTCCTCCAGCACCACCGTTCAAACGTGTCTATCTTCCTTCGCTCAGCCTTCCCTAAGGTCCAGCTCTCACATCCATAGGTGACTATGGGGAATACCATTGCTTTAACTATGGGGAATACCATTGCTTTAACACTGGATCTTCGTTGCCAGTGTGATGTCATAGAATCATAGAATCATAGAATCAAAGAGTTGGAAGAGACCTCATGGGCCATCCAGTCCAACCCCCTGCCAAGAAGCAGGAATATTGCATTCAAATCACCCCTGACAGATGGCCATCCAGCCTCTGCTTAAAAGCTCCCAAAGAAGGAGCCTCCACCACACTCCGGGGCAGAGAGTTCCACTGCTGAACGGCTCTCACAGTCAGGAAGTTCTTCCTCATGTTCAGATGGAATCTCCTCTCTTGTAGTTTGAAGCCATTTCCGCGTCCTAGTCTCCAAGGAAGCAGAAAACAAGCTTGCTCCCTCCTCCCTGTGGCTTCCTCTCACATATTTATACATGGCTATCATATCTCCTCTCAGCCTTCTCTTCTTCAGGCTAAACATGCCCAGTTCGCTAAGCCGCTCCTCATAGGGCTTGTTCTCCAGACCCTTGATCATTTTAGTCGCCCTCCTCTGGACACATTCCAGCTTGTCAATATCTCTCTTGAATTGTGGTGCCCAGATGGACACAATATTCCAGATGTGGTCTAACCAAAGCAGAATAGAGGGGTAGCATTACTTCCTTAGATCTAGACACTATGTTCCTATTGATGCAAAATCCCATTGGCTTTTTTTGCCGCCACATCACATTGTTGGCCCATGTTTAACTTGTTGTCCACGAGGACTCCAAGATCTTTTTCACACGTACTGCTCTCGAGCCAGGGTCCCCATTCTGTATCTTTGCATTTCATTTTTTCTGCCAAAGTGGAGTATCTTGCATTTGTCACTGTTGAACTTCATTTTGTTAGTTTTGGCCCATCTCTCTAATCTGTCAAGATCGTTTTGAATTCTGCTCCTGTCCTCTGGACTATTGGCTATCTCTCCCAATTTGGTGTCGTCTGCAAACTTGATGATCATGCCTTCTATCCCTTCATCTAAGTCATTAATAAAGATGTTGAACAGGACCGGGCCCAGGACGGAACCCTGCGGCACTCCACTTGTCACTTCTTTCCAAGATGAAGAGGAAGCATTAGTGAGCACTCTCTGTGTTCGTCCACTTAACCAATTACAGATCCACCTCACCGTAGTTTTGCCTAGCCCAGATTGGACTAGTTTCCTTGCCAGAAGGTCATGGGGGACCTTGTCGAAGGCCTTACTGAAATCCAGGTACGCTACATCCACGGCATTCCCCGCATCTACCCAGCTTGTAACTCTATCGAAAGAAAGAGATCAGATTAGTCTGGCATGACTTGTTTTTGATAAATCCATGTTGACTATTAGCGATGACTGCATTTGTTTCTAAGTGTTTGCAGACCGCTTCCTTAACAATCTTTTCCAGAATCTTGCCCGGTATCGACGTGAGGCTGACCGGGCGGTAGTTGTTTGGGTCATCCTTTTTTCCCTTCTTGAAGATTGGGACCACATTGGCCCTCCTCCAATCTGCTGGAACTTCTCCCGTTCTCCAAGAACTCTCAAAGATGGTTGCCAATGGTTCCGAAATGACTTCCGCTAGTTCCTTCAATACTCTTGGGTGTAGTTGATCTGGCCCTGGGGACTTGAACTCATTTAGAGCGGCCAGGTATTCCTGGACGACTTGTTTCCCAATTTGGGGGTGGATGTCCTCTAATTCCTCATTCACTCCATCTTGCTGAGATTGAAGATGACTTTCTTTTTGTAAGAAGACCGAGGCAAAGAAGGCATTAAGTAGTTCTGCCTTTTCCCTATCCCCTGTCAGCATTGCCCCATCTTCTCCGAAGAGGTCCTATCGCCTCCTTGTTTTTCCTTTTTCTACTGACATAAGAATAGAAGCCCTTTTTATTGTTTTTAATGTCCCTGGCAAGTCTGAGCTCGTTTTTTGCTTTAGCCTTGCGGACCTTTTCCCTACAGGTGTTGGCTATTTGTTTGAATTCTTCTTTGGTGATTTCTCCCTTTTTCCACTTCTTGTGCATGTCTCTTTTGTGTCTTAGCACAGTTAGAAGTTCTTTGGACATCCATTCTGGCTTCTTTGCACTTGTCCTATTTTTTGTCTTTGTTGGCACGGTTTGCAATTGCGCCTTGAGTATTTCACTCTTGAGAAATTCCCATCCATCCGTAACTCCCTTGTCTTTTAGTATCTGTGTCCACGGAATGCTGCTCAGCGTTTCCTTCATTTTTTGGAAATCAGCTCTCCTAAAGTCCAAAATGCGGGTTTGACTTGTCTTAGTTTCGGCCTTCCTTTGTACCTCAAATTGCAGGAGCACATGGTCACTTGCCCCTAAGGATCCTACCACTTCGACCGCATCGATCAGGTCCTCCGCATTTGTTAGGATGAGATCAAGAGTAGCCAATCCCCTTGTTGCCTCTTCTACCTTCTGGACCATGAAATTGTCTGCAAGGCAAGCGAGGAATTTGTTGGACCTTGTACTCTTGGCCGAGTTTGTTTTCCAGCAAATATCGGGATAGTTGAAATCGCCCATGACTACTACATCTCTTCTCTGTGCCTGTTTGGTCAACTGTTGGCAGAAGACTTCATCAAGTTCTTCCTCCTGGCTTGGGG